TCTCTAAACTTATACCTATTTACCCTCTATAATTAAGGATATAAACTTTTTTTTTTCGCCAATTTCACCCATACCGTCTAAATCCACAACATTTCATCCAATTTGCCATTAAATATGAGGGTAAAATAATCATTTTATACATTAAAAATAAATAAGGAATGAAAAATAAAATAAATAATAGAAAAATAAAATAATAATCATAAAATAAAAACTGAAATAATAGTCCCTTTAAAGTAATATGTTGTTGGCGAGAAGAACAAATGTGGATTAGGTCAATTAACATTGGGTTGGATAGATGAGCAAATGTAAATTAGGTCAATTGACTAGAGTAGCAAGCCCGTCCGGTACATCTGTGCTTAGAAAATTAGAGTGGTTATCGTTTGTATTAGAAGCGCCCTAGAAATACAGCTGTGCTTAGAAAATTAAATCTCAGCCCTTAATTACATCGAACGGCCTGTATTCCCACTCTGTAAATTGGCACTCCGCATAAGATACCGGCTGTTATTTTTTTCCCTCCCTTACCCACTTCTAACCAGAAGAACACAACTACGGCTCTGCTCATTCGTACTCTACTCTCCCTATCTCTTCTTCCTTTCATCAATGTCTATACAATGATAATTTGGGTAGAAAAAAAAAAAAAAAAGAGAGCTTTGTTTCTTTTGAATATATGAACTGTTTTTCTTGAATTTTTAATTTTGGTGCTCAATATTGTTCGCAATTTGAGTAATTGTGTGATTGATTGGTTGGTTTGGGCAAGGTATTGGACGTCAATGGGTCCTCTGACGCTAGCAGTGGATTCAAAAAGCTGTTCAGGAACTTCATCAGGTAAACAATTTTCTCAATTTCTGCTTATATATGAACAATATATACAAATATATCTTATCACTCGTACCATCAGTATTTGTGAAGCAACACGTTATTCAAAAATACATAGCTTGAGATAAATTGTGGTGTTTCTACGAAGACCCCAATTTGCACTTGTATTTACGGTTGATGTTACCCATTTCTGGGTGTGATATCTTCTTGACATTGTTGAATGTTTAAGCTTTACTACTCACTACGTGTGAAATAAATTACTTAGAGGTTTATTTTGTAAGTTGGAAACGTTTAGAGCCCTCTAATATTGGATTTGTAAAGTCCATTTTTTTTCAGTAGGAAGTAGCCTTTTTTTAAAAATTTCTCTGAAAATTATAATTAGGAACTCCTATAAAACAGTTTCTGTAACCTCTTTTCAAGTCAACATGGATTGAGCATCACATTTCATAAATCAATTTTCTCAATTGTGTATCAGTTCTCCAGAAGTTTAGACAATAATCTACCTAGGCTCTTTGTCTTGATGATGCAGAATTTTATTTATGTTGCCTTGGAATTTTATATTTGTATGTTATTGCTTTTTATTAAAAAAATAAAATAAAGGATATGGTTTTGCAGATGAATATAGCAAGAAAACGCAATATGCTCCTATAGGAACACGGAAGTCTTTTGCGTCAGTCAGCTTGCATGAAGATAAGCCATTTGATTTCTTACGCACTTTATTTGGTACGTTTAATAGTTACAATTGAAGATATTGATTAATGTGGAAGTTACTTGTTTATTAAATTCTAGGCTGCAGTTCATTAAGCATCATAATTAAGTCCAGTTCTTTGAGTTGATGAATGCATTGAGGGACTGCTAATCTTTGAAGATTTAATGTAGAGTAAAGATAAGTTTTGAAAGTAGGTTATTCTCTCTCTCTCTCTCTCTCTTTTTCTCACTCTCTCTCTCAAATCATCATTGGATGTGCAATACTCCCTTTAGCTTTATCATGTATATTTTACTTACAAAAATGTGGAGTAGAGCTTATAGGCTTTGTTACAAGCTTTTGGTTAGATGGAGCCAGGGGCGAGAGCCATCTAT